CTTCATTGACATACGTGGAAAGAGAGCAGAAATTAGTTTAATTGCTATATTTACTCATAAAATATTATTTCAATTTATTACTGAATCGTAATTGGTCAAATGATCCTAATTATCTGAAATAATTGAGTGATTTAAGTGAAGAATTTCCCAAGTGATTAAATACTTCCATTTCCATTATGATGGTGTAGGAATAGTAATTAAGGCCTTATTTATATACTTTACACCCAGTTAAGCATATATAAATGCTTAGGATTTCAAAAAACTGATTACTTGACAATCAAATCAAACTGTTGACCACTTGCAGTTTGTTGAATTACTGAGTACGCACTTAGTAGTGTGGATGACCAGCCGCACTGGGGTAGAATTCGAGTTGATCACAAGAGCAATTAAAGAACACCTCTATGAACTCAAGTCAAGCATTTTTAACCACACCAACCCCTCCCCCTCCCCTCCCCATTCGCCTGCTCTTACAGGCATACCTTCTACCTGATCTTTACTCAAATTAGATTATATTTTGCTTCAGAGTACTCTTTATAATGAATTGTAAGAGACGACTTATCGGACATTTCCCATCACGTTCTGTCAGCATGTTAGAAGGAGAAAGAATAGAAGTAGATGAGAGGAACAGGCAAGTGAAAGTGGGTTACAACTATCGACTGCAAACAATACGAATAAAAAATAAATTACGCTCGTGTACTGCGGTAATGGCAAATAGGTTTTTTAGGGTATATACACATAGGAATCTCAAATATTTAATGAAGGCAAAGAGCAATAGATGGTTAGATGGTGAATGTGCATAAGTGGGCTTCTATTCTTTAACTGAAGTTAAAAGAAAGGCAAAGTTAAACCGTGGTACGATGAAAAATGAATGTGCTTCTCCTTTATGATGAATTTAAGCTGAAATCCTGCGTTAGGCTGGAAAGAGAGGATGAAATAAGTTCAAATGGCAGCAACCAGCAGCCGACAAAGCCGACCAAAAACACAAATGGTTTTGCGACATCAAAGCGCGTACTTAAAACGGAGGCGGTATGAAAAACACGACCGGTTTACCGGTCGGTAGGTTCGGAAGGCGGAGACCAGCCAGCCATTCAAGTAGATGGCGGCAGCAAACCAGCCATCTCCTGCTAGTCGGTCTGCGCGGCTTGTCCTCAGACACACACACACCCACCCACAAACATATATATATACATACCATTCACCCCAGCACCCTGTGTCATCTGCTGGTCGGCAATAGCCATACACATACACCTGCAAATTGCTTCTAAACATGAGTGGGAAGCTTTCGTATCATCGGTTTTAATTTTACGGTCATGAATAAAATATACTCACTGGAGTTGCACTTTAATGGAAATACTTAGGAATTTATGGTCATCTTAGATGGGATGAGCGCTTTCATTTCAGGTGCAAAGTAGTCAGAAGTTAAGGATACCAAAGACTTGTAACATCTACGCCTTTCTTAGAAGAGGTAAAGAAGGCATTTTTATTTGGCTTTTTATTCCAATTTGTAACGCCAAGAGTGCACAGAAGTTACTCGGGAGTCAGTCAGATCACCAATGGGCCTCTTATCATGCGACTAGAATCTGAGTCGTTTTAGAGGTAACACTACTAATAAGTAGACACCTCTTAGGGTCTTAAGAAAAGCGCGTGGGTATTGGTAAGGACAAGATTTTAACCACATGAAATAGTTGTCCTTAAAATGCATGGGAAGCTAACATAAACTTGAAAGCTTATATAACCGAAATCAAGGACAACCGTTTGCGCTCTTGAATCCCCGCCAATCTTCGAAAGAACATAATGAGAGAAGCGACTTCAAGCTAAACGACAAATCAAAGTAGTGTAGAAGTCTTCACGACCAACTTCTGTCTTCCAGGCAAAAATACCAATTTTGAAATCCATATAACACCAGATGATTGAGTTTTTTTAAATATTCGATTTTATCGATAAGAATTCATTGGAGAAAATCGAGTAAGTAAACACTCTTTTTTCCTCAATTAAAGTAAATGACAGAGATGGCACTGCAAGCGTGTTCTTCAATGATTGAAAGGTAATAAAATTCGTTTTAGTAATCGACATTTTTTCGGGAAGCACGTACCAATATAACCGGATGTAAAAAAATTGTATGTTAGAAAACAACTCATTCGAAAGGATACATGACTTAAATCAGCCCTTTAAAACAAGCCAATAGTTCCTATATTTTCCCATTCTACAAACAAAATGGGGACAAAAGTACTCCTCTGTATGTTAGAAAAAAAGGGCAGTACAAGCCGTGTTGAGTTCGGCATGTCTAGCCATGTGTGTAGTCTAGTCGCAGTTGTTTGGTAAGGAAAGTGAGCGGTATTGCCGAGATGGGTGGTATAGGCGAATGGTATCCGACATTGCACACAATTTTATCCTTTTGGTCATAGGGTTTATCAAAGCGGAATAGCGAGATGGTTCATTCACTTTTGAATAAGAGTAATGGGCATGTGCTTACAGTAATACCATTAGAATCTAGCATGAGACACTAAATAGGGGTTAATTATATGCCAGGTCAGTAAAATGAGTCATTCATTAATCAACGGGATGTATATAAAAATCTATCCTATAATTTTTAGTAAGATAAATCCTCTGATTTTTTGTATTTCCTCTAATTTAGGCGGCTAGCTGCATGAAAAGTCTTTTCCATTGAATAATAATGGCAATAACTAAAACTCACGTCACTAAATACTTAATGTTTATTTGACCTAATATGGCTCCATTAAGCAGAATATGAGACAAGAGATATTCCTTCATTTCGCCTTCTTTTCACTTGGCTGTTAATTAAATAAACTTAAATGTATAGTTAAGGCATCATCTTATACTATTGAAAGAGATCAATTAGAGGGGAATAGACTAAATAGACTATATGCCGTATCACAATAATTAAATTTGACTCTCGCAGTGATAGAGACTGGTGAAAGAGCGAAGGAAGTAAAGAAAACATGGGTATGGTGTGAGAGCAGTGCTTTTAGTTACGACAACAATCATGTTTACTTATGTGTTCATGTCTTTGCATGAGGATTAAATAATGCCTCCCTACAAGTATTTTATCCACGCCTTTTTCCATCCAAAAATAGCTCAATTTACATTGTTTACACAACACTTCCAATGGATGTTAATTGAATCACCACTAATTGGCTTATTAATCAGCTTTGAAAGAATGAAATTGATTTCTGAAGAGGGAGAGAGTTGAGGGGATTCCAGAATGTGGGCGGCTGTCGGTAATGGCTCAAAAAAGAAGTTGAGTTAAACTGGCCGCTCAATTCTGACTTTACTACTACTACTACTACTACTACTACTACTACTCTAGGGCACATACGAGAGCGTTAGAGAGCGGTCCATCTATCAATCCTCGCGTTGCGCGTACAACAATCGGCACACGGACGCGTATGTCGGTAAACGACAGCGGCGGCAGCGGTATTGGCGGCACGGCACTACTGCCGACAAAAGGAGAAAGGACAAATTGCGCACGGCCAAGGCGCGGCGTGTCTACCGGCAAAGTTTTTCAGGTGTATGTCGTCGCTTTGTCGACGGCATTGCTGTTTGACACACCGACTGTGAACAAATATATGCATGCATGCGAATGATAAGGAATTGCCTTATCCCTGGACAAGGTAGATCTAAGACACTTTCTTCCCTAACTCAAAAAAATCCAATAAGACCATCATAAGTGAAGAATTTATGCCGATATTTACATGGAGAGCCACACATGCTTCCATAAATGTTTTAAAATGCTTTTCAAAACGGAAAAGACGTTGTAATCCCCTCTTATAAACTGTGAGTTGCTCTCATCCCCATGAACAGAATTTTCGAAACTGAGATACATTGCACGTCTATGAAGACAGAATAGGGGTTTCTTACTAATAAACTGCGGGGTGCGCGATAGACTTACCTCCACGTGGTGCACCCTGGGCAACGTATACTCATACGGCAAAAAAGTCTATTAACCGGCATTTGACTTCTGACTTCAAAATACCATGGCCCAATTGCTTGTCATATTCGACCTCTTCCTCAGTACTCATCTTACCTTTTTCCCTACCGTTATGTCTGTCTGCCTCTTTTACATCTGTGAATCGCTCTTCTATTCCCCACCCCTCGACTTTCTGCTACTTTGATGAACCTTCCCTCTGTGAAGCCCGAAGTCAGCCAAATGGCTAATGATAGCTATCAAAAGGCCTGCCATTTGAAATAAAAAAAAATAAAAAATACTAATAAACTGCTGTATATCTTCCCAATACCCACGCCAAACAGTATTAACGCTTCCCTTAATGAGTTTTTGGGGGCAGATAGTGATTAAAATATGGGCGGTAAGAGAGACATAAGAGAGATTGGAACAGAGATGAAAATTAAGAGGGTTAGATGTAGGTAGGGGGTGGGTGGGTGGGTGGGTGGGGAGTGGGAAGGTGGTGGGGCAGACGAGAGGGAAGCGTAGGAGGCGGCGTGTCTGCTTATGATCTCCTAAGGTGGAAGGCCTCCGAATAGCTCTAATCGAGGAAACTGACCCCTGGCTGCGCTAATTTAATGACCATTTAATTAGCCTATCCCATAAATTGAAATAAACCGCTTAATGACACACGATGGTACTCTGAAGGGAATTTGAGGTGGTATTAGAGGTCAAACAATTCAAAGGCCACTATGGACACGAGATAATTAGCTCCCAAAGATTAGTGCTGACCGAGATAATTTCAGAAACAAATAGGAATTCGTATTTCGATTGAGTGATTGATATATATGTTGGGAAAATTTATACCTATCAGAGCGGCTGACTCAGAATCAAAGTGGCTCGTCAAATGGAAGAAAAGAAGAGTAGAACTCTTAAAACAACTAAAACATTACAATCCAAAAGCAAAACTAGAAAATTCTATTAGCCTATTCAAAATCTTTCCCTATTGAGTTACCTTTCTACTACTTTCACTAATTCTTGTGGTTAAGTAAAGGATGAAATTAGAGTCCCGCAAATGAAATAACCTAAAGTAAAAACCTTAAAATCTTTTGTATATACTTACCGAATCGATAACAGACAGAAGACTAAGTTCCATGTTCCTCACAGCTGATCTCCACGACGTTTCATGCTCAAGTATTAGCCCAACACGACCAGCCAGCTGATTTCGAGCGAGGGACAACCATGCCTTTGCCAATTGGAAAACGTGGAGTGCTTGTAAGCAATCCAACTGTTCAGCCATTGGATTAATAGCGTGATCAATTTCACTATCATCCAGGCGCAAGGTGATACTAAATAAATCATTGATCCAACACACGCCCTTGTCACTGAACAAGAAGCAGCTCATCCAATTAGTGGATAATTGATGAAGAGCCTCATTGGCGAGCTGGTGGGATGATGTGACATGAGACAGACACCGCAGAGTTGCTTCCACGAAATCTACCGTGGCTTGGAACATTGGAAAGGGCAGAGAACGTCGGCCACAACGACAGGAGAGTAGAGAAGGTGGGATGGGATCATACTTTGATGGTGCTGTACAGAGCCCTCCATAAGCAGTTCCTCGACAAAGGGTTGAATGACATGAAAGCTCTTCCATGGTGAAAGTAAGCAGACGCATTAGCAGTGGAACGACACTATTCTAAAACATAAAAACACTGACATTAAGATGTTTATAGTGGACTCCAATTCAATGGATCCTGAGAGATAGAGAGCTTTGCCAAGCACTTTAAGAGCAAAAAATGCGAACAAGACGAGTATCTCAAATATTCATTCATTTGAAATCGTGCCTTGTCTGGTTTAAATAAATCTGAATGGATTTTTTAGCAGAGATAAAATTTAGGTGAATCCTTTATAAAATAAATTTATCTAGAAGGAAATAGGTGGTTAAATTTTCCGAAATTATCGCCTATTTTGATTGAGAAAAGGAGGAGGGGGGGGGGGGGGGGGGGTGGAAGGAAGAATGATTTAACTGGAGGATGATTTTTTCCATCAGCTAAGTTGAAGTAGCATATAATTACGTGATCATCAAAGAAGACTTTTACGATAGAGATAGCCATGGGAATTCCAGAATTAGTGAATATTTACGATTTTACAACTACCAACTCTGATCAAGGGGAGTTCGCAGAATAAATTGGAACTTAGGAACACACGTGCATACAACAGGCTATTTTATGAAGGTGTTATTACAGAGGAAGTTACAAGGCTACTAGCTGTGGGAAGTTGCCGTAGGAATTGTAAAACGGAATGCGATTCCATCGTGTGAGAGTGGAACAGCATGGCACAATAATTATGGTTTTCAGATGTTCAGACGCTTACTACAGACCGAATCAATGGCTCTAGCGAAATGGGAGTTCAAAGAGTTGGCAAAATATATTTGCAATTGGAAAGAATAAAATATAAAACTACGATATCTTGTTTAATTATTCTAGACGGGCAATCTAAAAGGACTTGAAATGCCAAGCTTAATAAAATGGAGCGTTTTTCAACGATAATTTCGGCTATATAAGTATGGATCTTCAGCCTCTGATGAAAAAGGGCCATTTCTTTTTAATTCACATTCGCAAAGATCATATGTTGATTGTTACTAAAGCATAAAGGCATAAACTGAATAAAATGCTACTCACTTGAACAAGAAAGAGTTTTGTGAATGGATTTCGACAAGTGAAGTTTGCCAGAGTTCCAGCGATGCATCTACTGATTGTAAATTGATCTTCCAAGTCATGAGGAAAGTAAATTCGGCTTTTCATAAATGTTAGAGATTCCTCTATGCTTTGAAGTTTCAGGAGGAGGATTTTACTAATTTCATTCATCTGTTGGTTTGAGAGGCTGGCACATTGGTCAGACAGGTTTCGTAGAGTCCAGAAAGCATCGAGTGAGTTGGATTGGAAGGAGGAGTTTGCAGAGTGTTTGAAGAAATCCAAGGAGGGGTCATTTTTAATGATATCCTTTTTGGTCTGTGGATGAGTAGAGAGAATACGCAGAAGGCGGGAACATACAGATTGAGTTTTTTGGAAAGGATATGTATGCACAAAGTAGAGAAGAGGTATAACACCTTGCTTAGCATGTATGAGACGCTTAGACATCTCGTTTCTGTGAGCAAGGAGATATAGACTATCGCAGACGATGGCTAAAAATTTTGAGAGAGAAGTTGAGGAAGCAAATGCCAGATATGGATTATGGGCTACTGGTGGCTGAAATGATTTGTCATATAGAAAACATGTCCATATAATTTGAATGAGGAGAATAATAATTAGAGGAGTTCGGAATTGATCTCGAAGGAATTTGTGATCTAGTAAATTATGTAAACCAGCAACTGTGTAATAAAGAGAAGACTCTAGAGGGAATGATAGAAGTCTTGTCACAAAGGCAACATAAGAGTCGGGTGAAATTAGATAAACGGCGGAATCATTTTCAGTTAGGTAATAAAATATTCCACTCAAACAATGAATAAGATCAGAGTGTTTGGAAATATCCGAAACGATCGCTGCTGATTTTAGGGAACCGAAAAATTCCGGAACCGAGGATAGTAAGACCTCTGAATAGCCTGAACGACAAAGAAGGAAAAGCTGCATTGCAGAGGTTTTAACAATGTTGATGTTGTCAGATAATAATCCAGAGCAATAACTATGCACCATCGACGGAGCATCATCATAATTAAATGGATAATCAAATTGAAAACAGTCATTCAAACGTAATTCGTCAAGAGAATTTCTCGATGCAGTACTTGATGGACGAGTATCTTCGGCTGATTCCATTCCAGAGTCAGATGACAGAGAGGTCGTTTCATCAAAATAAAAAATCCGGTTCATTTTCTTTTAATATATTTTTTAAAAATTGATAGGTCTCAGCATTCGTACATGTATGACATTAGTGTTAATGCCACCAATCCAGGCATTTAATTAATACCTCAGAGAACGCAAATACACTAACCGTAAATATTCATTAATATAAACAAATGCAAGGTCATATTTAAGTATCGCTTACGAAATGCACAATTTTATATAAAAGTTATTTTTAATTTCTTTGGCACATTTGATGAATAAAATAATTTTTGGTTACAAAGACTTAAATTTCATTTATCATGTTAATTCAAGTAAATCAATTAAACACAGATGCGATATTTGAGTATAAGTAGTTTTTAATGAAGTGGATTTCATTTTGATAATTTTTGTTTTTATTTTTACTTTTAATACACTTAAGCATCTTAAGCCATCACTTTCCTTTAAAAATAGGAGGCTATGTCTAATTAACCTAAACATAATCTGTCAAATATTTTATAAATCATATTCGCACATTGCATAATGCCATCTTCATTGTAAATATGCAATAACTGAAGTTCTAAAGTAAATTCATTTTGGAAATGTGCATATTTTTTATCTATTAAAGATCTGTTTAATTTATTGCCCCATAATATAATGGTGCGTTATTGATGCCGAACTAATTAGGTAAAGAAGTATGGAGTCAATTGGGGTGTTTTACTTTAATCATAATTAATATACACACATCCAAATTTCTAACACCATGAGTTTATTTAAAGTGTCAATTTCGGTGCTTTAGTGAAATTTTTTAATAGACATATAGCCTAACCTTGAATGCCCTAGAAGACCTTACTAATTACACACTATGGGTGTAGCAGCTTCTTCAGCTAAGCGTGCTGTAAGGAATTGGAATGCAACAAATCGCGCCATAAAGCGCTTGGATAAAGAGGCAAAAATGCGAGAAAAGGCAGTAAATCGGCCTAAAATTACTCCGAAACAACAGGGAGAAGATAATTTGTTGCATGCAAAGAATGATAATTTGGAAAAACGAGTATTCTCACTTGACATCAAAAGTGAGGGAGTTAAGAAAAATATTTTACCAGAGGGTTTTGATTATGTTCCTAATTCAACTAGAAAGCTGCCACAAGTAAATTTGGAATATCATTTTATTGTCTTTAGAGGTTTGAAGTGGGTAGTCCTATTCCAGACCCACGTATTGAATTCGGATTTGCAATTCCTGACGTTATTCCCAAAGGAAGTATTACAATTTCCCAAGCCATTAATATGATAAAATGCTATCAGTTGAATATCAAAACAATACCCCAATTGTCAGAAGAATATGACCTCGATCCTCAAATTGTCACCTCTATATGTAAATACTTTTCCCTTTTTGAGTGCGAATCTTCTCGTGTGTGGGTTCCTCCCTCCAAATCAACAGAAGGAAAGACTCTCCTAGATAAACCAATTTACCAAGAAGATGACCGGATTACTGATGATGGCGTCTCGCGTTATATCCGCTTGCATGAATTGGAGCCACCTGTTAAGGCATAGATTTACTTATCTGTACAATTTTCCGAATAAATATTTGTTTAAAGTAAATGCTACATAATTTTTTCTATTAGCATTTAATACCCTTAAGCTGATTTGCAAATCTTATAGACATGAGGGCCCTTAATTCACTCAAATGTGCTTTTCGAAATGCTCCATTAATGGGACTTAGGCGATGGTGTTATAATACGGATAAAAAAATAATTCAAGGTTCATTCGACGGACGTGTGTCGAATGCCATTCGTGGATATTTGTCGAAGAATAATGATTTTCTTCTGTGTGAATTTGACCGTCTTTCGAAAATCGTAATGTCGGATCGATCAGCCGAGGCCAAGTAAGCTTCTTCCTTTTAGGTGTGTGTTTTTTAATGATTCTGTTTTCTTTTAGAGATCATTTATGGAGATTGTCTAGTCTTAAAACTCTGCTGGATATTAAGCAGAGACTGCAGACACTGATAACCCTAGATGCAGATTCAGCTAATCTTTTGCAAGGTCGGTAAGTCCGTGCTTCATTATTTTTTAATAATATATGATATAGAATCAATTTATATATCTAAATTCCCCTGGTGGTCACAATTATTGTCTACATTTGCCATATTTCTTTTTTTATGACTATGACAATCCCTTAAAGTACCTAAAAGCCACATTTTGATATATTATTTTTTAATTATCTGATGTTTTATTTATTTACAAAATCTTCTAATCCTTGAAGGCGTTTTATTTCTTAGGCAAAGGCTTTGTACTGCTAATTTGATTTTCGTACTATAATATCATTTTGCGTCTTCTATTTTGACTGAACTACTGTCGTACATCCTTTTCTTAATATAACGCAAAACTATAATCAGCTTTGTGTCTTCATTCTTTCATTCTTTTGAAGAATTGATTTTTTGTGCTATTTCTAGATTTTATTAACATTAATATTTTTTTAGCCAGTACGTCCTTAACCATCATCCGATAATGCCTTGAGTTTAACATATTGGTAATGAAAGTATCAATTATCAGTTACCCCAGGTGAAATTTTATTCTACAACTATTAGGGGTTGCAATTACTATAGTGGAATAATTCCTACTATACTTTGAGGTGAAATTCTGTCTAACGCATTGGACTATAAGTGATTTCTGTTTTGGATGGAATGTAATCCCGGAACTTCAAAAAGTAAAAAAAACTCGCTTTATACCTCCCATCTTAATTTTTTACTACCATGTTTATTACCAGCCAATAAGTAGCGAATTCATGACGTCTGGTACTACAGACCTTTCGTTGACCGCTACACCACTGATTTTTTAATATTTTTTTATAGATTAGAAGATAATTGATAATGCGTGAGGTTGGAAAGGCTTTTTCTCATTTCCTGATTTTCGGATCTATTGCGCAAGTTGTTAGGCATTCGCTTCTTTCAGCGCAGTCCATCCATTGATACTTGCGTATAATGGCACTAGATTAGCGTTTCCACTTTAAATAGGATTTTTCACGGTATTTTAGTGTTAAATATGTCTAATGATTATTATTTGTTTCGAAGAAGTCTACGAGTTTTTAAAATCCTTTTGTTCTGATGGTGAAGTTATTATTCGAAATATTCCGTTTTCTTCTCAACCGTTCGGCCTTCATTTCCTTTTTATTCGCTATTTCTAGAGTTAGATGACGGTTCAGACGCAGTTTTCCAGCAAATGGCAGCAAGCGAAGCAGCATCTCGTCGAGAACAGATAAATTACTTTGAGAATCAGGTCTGTTATTCTACATCTAACTTTTACCCTTTTGGCTTAGAAGGACTTACTGGCATTTTATTCTCATAGATCCTAGAATTGATCTTACCTCCAGATCCCAATGCATTCTGTAGCTCCGTCCGATTGCAGCTGATCGCAGGTGCCGGTGGTTTGGAGGCGGCCATGTTTGCTCGAGATCTCTTCAATATGTATGAGGCTTACATCATCCAAAGGGGCTGGTCCATTTACCCGGGCGAAGGGGGAATCAATGCACTCTCCGATACGGACTGTCCAATTCATAACACCGAGGTGATCGTGGAAGCTTCTGACCCTTCTGATACGGTCTACACTTGCCTAAGATGGGAAGCAGGCGTACATAGAGTTCAGCGAGTTCCTGTGACTAGTAAATTGAACAAAATCCACACTAGTACAGTGGCTGTGACTGTACTGCCTGCTGTGGATGAGGTATGTCGATAATAAATAATAATAATACTAAATTCATTTCAGTAGAATTTCTTTTGCAAATCTGTTCAATTGTTTAGGCTGACATTGACCTTTTACCGGAAGATTTGGAATGGGATGTGTTTCGTTCCTCAGGAGCTGGTGGCCAGCATGTAAATAAGACCGAGAGTGCTGTTCGTGTAAGACATAAACCCACAGGTCATGTTGCTGTGTGCCAGGATGATCGGTCACAGCATGCTAATAGAGAGGCTGCATTGAAAACCCTCAAAGCCAAGTTAGTAAATATACTACTTATTTCAATCTGCCTTTTCTAAGCTACTGCATTACTAATTGACTGATCGATTTGTATTGTGCGCGAGATCACTAGAATACCTTTCCTTTTTCCTACATGTTTCAGTTCCTTTTGAATCGATTGTGCGTTACAAGAGAGAATCCTTTGCTTCTTATTTCATTGCCTTTTGCAATCATTTCAAACAGAAATAGAGAATAATAACTGCTAAATTCCACTTTTGGAGACTTTATGTCGTCTTGCCCTAGCATCTGCTAATTCGATTTTCAGCGTCTAGACTTGAATGCAATTAATGCCAACAATGACCTATATCTTATACCTCCTGACAACAACTACTTAACATATGAAAACCTTTGATATTTGCTGGGTTATAATTTTCTGGATTCGAGGTATCCAATCCTATATCCTTTATATCGTTTAAAGGTTAATTGGCCGTTTCCTTCATATGTTTTGAAGAGAGGTGTCATAGAGCTTCATTACCTCAAAATAATCATATCTTCACTGTCCTCTTTGCCAGTACGGACAATTTGAGCATTCTTAAAATTAGGTAACATAGTTATAATTAGCCACCTCCATAGCTGCAGTAGAATAGGTGGCTAAAAAATGGAAGTGCCGGTGGATTTATTGAAAAGTGGAATACCTAGTTGAATTATTATTCCGTTATGATTTTTCATGCTCCTTTGTAGCATAGCCAATAACTTATCAACACTGCCCCCTTAAAATGCCTACTAATTTCCTCACTGATATAATGCTGCAGACAATTAATCTCTTACAATCATCAACAGCTACAGTCTTCTTGTTACTGATTTTGTTTACGCTATATGAATGTCTATTGGCTTGTGCGTCCGTATGCTGCAAAAGCACGTATGAATCTATCACACTCTAAGCACATTATTAAAATAGATTTTAAATTTACCTATCCATTAGTTTGATCACTTTACCTCGCTTTTTTGTTTTTCCAATAGAATTGCAAAAGAGGCTTCTCTAAAACAAGTGGAGAGTGAGCTGGCCACTCGGCGCTCCCAGATGGGCTCTTTAGAACGCTCTGATCGGATTCGAACTTATAATTACCAGCAGGATCGCATTACTGATCATCGGTTGGGCAAATCTTGGAATGATCTTGCCAGTTGTATGCGCCAAAATATCCCTTTGATTGACGAGGCTGCTCAGGCCTTGGATGAAGTGTATATCCTCAATTCATTGAATTCTCTCAAGAAACCCTACTTTTTAAACTGATCTGTTTAGTTATGGAACCCTTGTGCTTATAGCCAATAAAGTATCAATAGTTTAACTACGGACTTATTAATTTCGAAGCTTATTGGTGTGATATAAGCCACTAATAATGCAGTTCGCTTTACAAGAATTTTTGTTTCTCGCTAAAGAAGAGGCAGCCTAAAGTGTAAAAAATTTCTTGTTTTTTAAGGCTCGATTTCCATTTCTTCTAGGGCTAACGATCTTTTGTTAACATAAGTGTGTGGGACACGTCATCGGATGCCTGCACGCCAGGATTGGGAGGTGCGACGGTACGAACAGTGACCAATCATTAACCTCTATTTGTTTAACCTAATCCGCCATCCTGATCATGATTAAGCTTCCTGCTTGTACACTTTATCCGCAATATCCGTACTGAATAAACGTGCTCCGTGCTACACGTCTGTTTCCTTTCATAGCTGGGCTATAGCTTAGCTAGTTCTGGGAGTCTAGCTAGATGTTGGAGAATCTGCCATAGAGATTTCTGAGTCGATCAGGCTTTACTAAGGTAGCAATTCCCTACAAGTGTCAATTTTCCTGAATGAAGTTATTATAAAGGACACTTTAGATGAAATGCGAAGTACTTGGGGTTTACCACTTACTTCTCTAAAGAAGATGTTGTAATTGTAGGGGGTTTTAAAATTGCGTACAAAAGACCAAGTGGAAACATATCTTGACTAGAATAGATAGTACTAATATCGTGTCAATTTACAAATGTGAGGAGATAAGTATGATATAAAATTTTGTCTGTCAATGTCCCGATTTCGAATTTTCGTGCATCAAAGCAATTTATTTTGACAAGTACCCGAGGGTACAAGAAGATTAAAACTCATTAGAAGTATAGAAAATAGAGCGTTTAGCACTAGTTGAAAGAAGGGATATGAACCGTGTAAAGAGGAGGTTTAATACGCATTTATTTGTGCTCTAAATCGGTATGACGCCAAACTTTATATTTATTTCAAATAGCAGGCTTTATGATATTTATCATTAGCCCTTACAAATCAAATGCCGAGTGATCGACTTTTTTGCCGTACGAAGATACATTGTCCAGGGTGCACCACGTGGAGGTAAGTCTATCGCGCACCCCATGACGCCAAACTAGATTATGTCATTTAATGATATAAGGTGGGGTGTGTGATAGACTTACCTCCACGTGGTGCACCCTGGTCAACGTATACTCATACGGCAAAAAAGTCTATTATTCGGCAGTTGACTTCCGACTTCAAAACACCATCACCTCACTGTATGTCATATTCGACTACTTTCACAGTACTCACCTCATCTTTTTCACTCTACCTTTGTGCCTCTCTCTTTTACATCTTTGAAATACTCTTCTGTTCCCCTCCCTCTCCCGACTTTTTTTCACTTTGATGTTCCTTCTTCTCTGTGAAGCCTGAAGTCAACTAAAGGGCTTATGATAACTATCAAAATGCCTGCCATTTGATATAAATAAATAATAAATGATATAAGGTAAAACGGTGAACTCGGGAAAACAGGCCATTTTGAAGCTCAAATTGAGTGAATTTCTGTTGTCTCTATACCTCTTTATCCTAAATTCTGAACTATTTAGATATTTCCCCCCCCCCTTCAAAATGTTTCCTGTCGAACAAAAAATGCATATTTTGTCGTTGTGGCAGCAAACTGTCAGGGAAGTAGTAAATGGAAAGCACACTTCTGTGGGACACGTCACCGCATGCCTGCACGCCAAGATTGGGAGGTGCGACCGTACAAACAGTGACCAATCATTAACCTCTATTTGTTTAACCTAATCCGCCATCCTGATC